CGCTGCTGAGCCACTGCGGCCGGGCCGCCCCCTGCGAGCCGCTGCGCTTCAACGTGTGCCTGGGCTCGGCGCTGCCCTACGGGGCCACCTCCACGCTGCTGGCCGGGGACTCGGACTCCCAGGAGGAAGCGCACGGCAAGCTCGTGCTCTGGTCGGGTAAGCGCGCAGGAGCAAGGTCTTGGGGGGCTGCAGTGATGGGATAGGGGTCCTGCTGGAAAGAACAGGCTCAGGCCTGAGCTTCTGGGAGTGCAGAGGCGCCCCCCGCGAGAGTTGGAGGGACAGTTTGAAACTTTGGGGACAGGTTACGTGCGGGATGAGACCCTCAGTGATGGAGAAGGAGGGGCGAGGAAGTAGAGAACGCGGGTCACAAAGGGCCTGCGTAGGGTGGGTGAGCAAAGGCTGCGGGGAGGGGGTGCGAGTGAGGGCCGTGAGGAGGGGCTCCGAGTCTCAGAAAAGGACATTTTTAAAGTAGAGATGCTCTCCCTCTGGAAGTAGGGTCCTGGGGATACAAGGAGGTGTTGGGACCTTAGGAAAATCAGAGTTGGAGAGGAAAAGGGGAAGGATGAAGATGGAAGAGACTTAGGTTTGGAGGGAAAGGAAAAAAATAAAGGGAAATCCGTGAAGGAAAAGAAACCTCCTGGTGACCATGAAAAGATAACCAGAGATTTCTGGAAATCTTGATTTGGGAGACAGACTGTCTAGAGAACTGTGATCTTGTCTGTTTTTTACAGATTTTTCCAGTCCCTCGTCTGGAAAATGGGGATTATGACCCATGCTGGGGTTATGAAGGGATGAGAGAAGTCAGCAATTACTGTGTGTTCTTAGGGAGTTCGGCTCCTTAGGCTAGTCATGACCAGGACTGTGGAAGGACATTTAAGACTGGAATATTGAGAGTCTGTGGATACTTCTGCCGTGGTTTGAAGTCCCGGAGCACTCTCCTTTGGGTGGGCTTAAGGGAGGGCCTACAGACTGAACCCAGACAGATCCTCCTTTAGTAGTGTGGAGTGGCTTTATCTCCTCCCTTGTCACTCTTCTGGACTGGGGGCCTGGAGTGTGCTGGGGAAGGAAAGTGACTGTCATCCTGAGCTTCTATCCAGTATTGTTCCCAACTGTCCTTGAGAAACTCAGAAGCCAGGAACAGACCTGGGAGCCACCTCCTTTTTGACAGGCCTGGGGTGCCCCATATCTTAGCTCTGCTAGGGGGCTGGTGAAGGCCCTAATGGGGAATGAACCGTATGTGTAGACTGCTTGTCATTGTCACCCTGGCTGCTAGGGTTCTCAGTCTTTCACGGATGTGGGACAGAGCGGTAAGTTTTCCGGCTTAGGTGAAGATGCTGGCAGAGAAAGTCAGAGGATGGCACCCGTAAGGAGGACCTACATCCTAAGTGGGGATCAGGCCTAAACATCAGCAGGAGAATACTCAACAGTAGCTTCCAGACTAACCTGTGGTGTGGTGGTTAAGGAGGCTGGATCCCATATGGCTAAACTACGCATTTCCAGAACTGGTGGCTTGAAAAACACTGTGCGCTCAGAATCCGGAAAGGAGGAAGAGACGGGGAGAAGGGATTGCAATATGGCCATTCCCCATGGAAGGGGTGCTTTCTCACTCTGCCTCCCACCCCCGGCCTCTCTCCAGTGAGTGCATGCATCCACTGTTATAAAAATTTTTTAAAAGGTACCAGCAGATGGCGTAATGGTTATGTTGCTGGACTCCCATGTAGTTGACCACGGTTTGAGTTACAGACCCAGTGGCTTAAAATTCATACCAGGTGTGTGTGCGTGCACGCCCAAATTCCTGAGAGGAGAATTGAGAAAAGGGATTGCAGTGTGGCCATCCAACCTGGGGGGTGACTTCTCACTTTCTGTCTCTCCCTCTCTCTCTGTCTAATGCACATGCCCTATAGCAAAAAATCTCTCTTAATTTTTTTTTTTTAAAGTTTTGGGATGATGTTATGATTATATCACTGGACTCCCATGTAGTCGACTGCAATTCAAGTCCTGGACTCGGTGGCTTAAAACAGAACAAGCGTGTGTGAGTGCATGCCCAACAGGAGGATGAAGAAGGGATTGTGGTGTGGTCATCTCCCCTGGGGGGTGATTTCTTGCTTTCTGACTCTGTGTGTGTGTGTGTGTGTGTGTGTGTGTGTGTGTGTCTGGTGAGCGCACATGCCCTATAGCAAAAAAATCTTTCAGAAAAAAAAGCTTTGTAAAATTTATGAATTATTGTAATATAAGAGCTATATGATTTTTGCATATAGGAGGGATCTTCAAAAAGTTCATGGAAAACACATTCAAAAAAATCATGTATATATTTTTTAAAATTTTATGCAAAGATAGGGTCTTTTTTTTTTTTTTGGTAGAGGTTTTTGCTATAGGGTGCATGCCATCGCCAGAAAGACCAAGAGAAACAGAGAGACAGAAAGCGAGAAATTACCCCGCAGGGGGATGACTATGCTGCAATCCCTTCTCCATTCTCCTCTTGGGATCTTTGGGATGTACGCACATGTGCCTGGCATGAATTTAAGCCACCGGGTCCGGGGCTCGAACCGCAGTCGACTACATGGGAGTCCAGCGACATAGCCATTATGCTAACTGCTGGTCCTAAGATAGGCTCATACTTTAATCCCATTTTTCTGTAGACTTTTTTTATTTTTCTGTTTTCTTCTTTTTTTTTTGGCTGGAGGGCACATGCACTCATCAGAGAGAGAAAGCACCTCTGATAGCGAGTGGTCACGTTGTGATCTCTTCTTCGTTTCTCCATCCTGTCAGGATTTTAGGCACACACATGCACACAAAATCCAGAGAGGAGAATGGATTGCAGAGAAGAATGGATTGGGGTGTAGCCGTCCCCCCGGGGGCTGCTTTCTCTTTCTCCCCGGTGAGCACACTCACCCTATAGCAAAAATTTTAAAAACAAGTAAGTAAAGTTACATTCATGCAAAGACTGAAATAAAAATGAAACGCAAAAGGAAGATTAAGCAAGGTTTCTTTAAGCATCACCTGAAATAAGATTTGAGTTTAAGAGCCAGCTGTATGAAAAATCCAGTCCTGAGCTGCTCACACTGAGAGATTATTCTCCATTTGTTTTGTGTGAGCTCTTGGTTGACTTAATTGTGTGTGTGGCGCTGCCCCCTCTATAGCTACCATCACATCAAGGAGGAAGCGTAGGAACCTCTGTCCAGTCCATGCTCCTGAGGGCAGCTGTGGAGCAGGCAGTAGTGGTTTGGCAGGAAAGTGTATGAGTTAGAGCCATCTGTTGGTTGTGCAGGTTCAAATCTCACTAGCTGTACCGCTGGTGGGTCAGGGTCTGCAGAGGTGCCAGCACTGAGCCCAGGGCTGTCAGTTTACTTGGACTCTCCCTGTCGCTGTCCACTATCACTCAGGTCTGTTTCCATGTGTGTTCTGGTTGCACCCTTTCCGCTTTGGGTCTTGCCGTTTGGTGTCCTGTGAGGTAGGCCCAGAAGCAGGTGTTGGCACCAGCTGAGTCAGTGGGTGGGTAGAGAGAGTTGAACTCCAGCCACGTGTGAGAATCACAGCCAGGTCTTCAGTGAAGAGTCTCTGGCTGGTGATTTGTCTGTACTGGGTGATAGCTCATGATTTGGCATTAGACACGGACAGTGTCACCTGACTCTTGGAGGTGTTTTATGGCTGAAGGGTGATGGTGACCTAAATTATCTTCATCTGTGAACTTTTGAATGCAGAGACCCTGTCTTCGCTTTTTTTCCCCAAGCCTCGAAGTGCTGAGTACACAGCTACCCACTCATACATTCGTTCAATTACCAATATATCCAAAGTGCTGTATGTCACAGCTTGAGTCAGGTTGTGAGGCATGTAAACATGAATCCAGACATGCTCCTTGCCAGCCAGAGGGAAACAGGCAATTAAGCAGGCTTTGGAAATCCCTGTGACAGGGACTGGGTGACTGCACAGCGGTAAGACACAACACTCTGAGAGGCTGACCCTCGTGGCAAGGTTCTGGATTTGCATCCAGAACCCTCCCTGAGTTGGTTGGGCATGTGTGTGCCTACAATCTGAGGCTGGCTAAGGCTGAGGGTGATAGTGGCGCGAGACCCTATCAGGGGTGCCATCTCTGTCTCTCTTACTTATGAAAGAAATAGACACAGGATAGAGTGGTACTTAAGGTGGCTAGACTCCCAGTGGATCCAGCGGCTTGAAACACACTGGGTGCATGTGCGTGCGTGCCCAAAATCCTGAGAGGAAAATGGAGAAGGGATTGCAGCATGGCCATTTCTCCTGGGGGGAGATTCCTTGCTTTCTGTCTTCATCAGAGAGAGAAAGCACCTCTGATAGCGAGTGGTCACGTTGTGATCTCTTCTTCGTTTCTCCATCCTGTCAGGATTTTAGGCACACACATGCACACAAAATCCAGAGAGGAGAATGGATTGCAGAGAAGAATGGATTGGGGTGTAGCCGTCCCCCCGGGGGCTGCTTTCTCTTTCTCCCCGGTGAGCACACTCACCCTATAGCAAAAATTTTAAAAACAAGTAAGTAAAGTTACATTCATGCAAAGACTGAAATAAAAATGAAACGCAAAAGGAAGATTAAGCAAGGTTTCTTTAAGCATCACCTGAAATAAGATTTGAGTTTAAGAGCCAGCTGTATGAAAAATCCAGTCCTGAGCTGCTCACACTGAGAGATTATTCTCCATTTGTTTTGTGTGAGCTCTTGGTTGACTTAATTGTGTGTGTGGCGCTGCCCCCTCTATAGCTACCATCACATCAAGGAGGAAGCGTAGGAACCTCTGTCCAGTCCATGCTCCTGAGGGCAGCTGTGGAGCAGGCAGTAGTGGTTTGGCAGGAAAGTGTATGAGTTAGAGCCATCTGTTGGTTGTGCAGGTTCAAATCTCACTAGCTGTACCGCTGGTGGGTCAGGGTCTGCAGAGGTGCCAGCACTGAGCCCAGGGCTGTCAGTTTACTTGGACTCTCCCTGTCGCTGTCCACTATCACTCAGGTCTGTTTCCATGTGTGTTCTGGTTGCACCCTTTCCGCTTTGGGTCTTGCCGTTTGGTGTCCTGTGAGGTAGGCCCAGAAGCAGGTGTTGGCACCAGCTGAGTCAGTGGGTGGGTAGAGAGAGTTGAACTCCAGCCACGTGTGAGAATCACAGCCAGGTCTTCAGTGAAGAGTCTCTGGCTGGTG